ATCTCTTGCTTTCCAGGTGGCTTTGGATGATCAGAAGTCAAAGGTTGTTGACTTCAATATTGTCTGGTCCTCCTCGCTGGATAGCTTGAAGTATAGTTCATACTTCAGTAAGCCAGAGTTGGTTGAATTCCCCACTGAAGTTCCTGGTCAAAATGCCTATGCTTACTTTTATCCACCATGTAATCCTACTTGTCAAGCCAGCCAAGGGGAAAAGCCTCCCTTGTTATTAAATAGCCATGGTATTTTCTCTTAGTCCTCCATCAAGAGTAATCTCATTCAATTTCATATTATTCTAATTTATCATTTACACGTCATACAGGCTAGAGGGGGTGTTTCACTGTTTCCTCTGGAACCAGAAATCATTTGTAGTTTCACATCATGTGATTACTAAGAATAGATGTAATATCCTCACTGATTTAATTGTAAAACCGTCATAAATTGTGCGTATTATGAAGTTCACGAGTGTATTATAAAGGGAAGTAGTGATGCATCACAATTCTTCTTTTGGTTTTGATAATGTTAAATACATGTAGCTTTGGTTTACTGATGCTCTTTTATTTTTCCCTCTAGTTAGTACCAATGATTTCGGAAGCAGTGAGCAGACAGTCTGTTTTTAGTTTTTCTTTCCAATTACACCATAAATCTTCATTGTTGTTGATGTACTATTGCCAGTAGTTCTAAATATAGGAGCTAAACAAAAAGTTTACTTTAATTCTAAATATGAAGCCTCAACTCACTTTGCCTCTCAAATTTATAATTTTTTTTCCAAAATATTCCTATCGATTACATATAGCAAGGGGGTTTCTATTAATGGTAGTTACAATGCACATGATTAAAAAAGATATTTTTTGGAAAATAAATACTAATTTTCTACAAATAACTAACTAAGTTATTTTTCTTTCTATCCTCTAGTCCTTATATGAAGAACTGGAAGCAGTGCCAATATTGGACCCAGCATTGCTGGAAACTTAATTAAAATTTGAATATGATGTATAAAGTTGCTAATGGCTTTCTAGTCTAATGGTATGTAAGCTTCCTGTAAGTAAGAGGTTGGCTCATGTTGTTTGTGCTTACCTGTTTGTTTAGAATAAAATATAAATCTAGTGAAGTTTTTTAAGTGAATAAAGTTCAAGCGAAAAATAATAGATTATATGATTATCATGCTTATTGCCCTTTGCCACTGTTAGAGAACCTACCAAGTGAGGCTGCGCATGATTATCATAATTTTGTTGAATATTTTAGGAGGACCAACAGACGAAGCTCGTGGAGCTTTAAATCTGAGCATTCAGTACTTCACCAGTCGAGGTTGGGCGTATGCAGATGTAAATTATGGTGGAAGCACTGGTTTGTCTCCTTCATTTGCTACAAAATTTCATATTCTCCATGTTCAAAGCCGATAGTTTTTTACCAGCCTTTTTGTTTTTGGCTTCTTTTTTTTTCCAGATTGAGTTCGTACTACAAATGATCTATTGAATGTTTTATGGAAGCGAGTTTGGCCTGATAAAATCATTATTTGGCAGGATATGGAAGACAATATCGAGAAAGACTTCTAGGATGCTGGGGCATAGTGGACGTTGATGACTGTTGTAGCTGTGCTAAGTACTTGGTAATTTATTTTATGGATTTAGCTCTTATCAATGATTTCCTGGGAGAGTTCTCATATGAATGATTTGTTATGCAGGTGAGCAGTGGAAAGGTTGATAGGGAACGACTGTGTATAACTGGCGGCTCTGCTGGTGGCTATACCACCTTAGCTGCTCTTGCCTTTAAAGATATATTCAAGGCTGGATCTTCTTTGTTTGGTGTAAGTGATGCTGTAAATAAGTTTATTTATTTTAGCTAATGATTTCAGTGTCCTAATTTTTCTTTGGATTAAAGGGCATTTTCGCCCCAAAACTATCAAGTGATGTCACCCTTGAAATATTAAAAATGGCGCTATGCTGTGACAGGATCCAGTGCCCCTTGCTAGTTTGCTCAGGAGCATATTCCATGCTCGTCTTTAGTTTAAATATTTAGTGCCTTCATTTTTATCTTATGAATAGGAGCAGAAGAGTGTGTATGTGTAATTTGGTTATGATTTAGCATTGTTCTTAATGCAATACGGGATTAATGCCTATTGGTCTCTGAAACAGATAGCTGATCTGAACTTGTTGAAAGCAAACTCTCTTAAATTTGAAACCTATTACAATGATAATCTTGTTGGTAAGTTAACAGCATCATCTTTAAGGTAACGGTCAAATTTATTTATTTTTTGGCGTATTTAATGTTAAGGCAATCCCTTTACTGATTGCAGGAGGTGATAAGGAATGCTTTGAAAGATCACCAATCAACCATGTTGACAAATTGTCTTCTCCCGTAATTTTGTTTCAAGGTTTAGAGGATAAGGTGAGCCACAATGCAATTATTACTTCCTCCCTTCCAATGTCCAAAGATTAAGGTTGGCATATTGATTTAAATATTCAATAACGTTGAAAATTATATTCTACCTCCATCTATGTTTTATAGCGGTTCCAAATCCAAGTAAATGAGTAAGGTTATATTAAGCCCTCGGTTAAACCCTGTCAAATCCTTTTGAAGCATGTAGTAAAATGCATATGCTGCTTGTTGTAGGTGTGGCTCCAATTCAAGCTCAGAAAATTTACGGGGCAGTGAAGGAAAAGGGTGTGCCTGTGGCCCTTGTTGAGTATGAAGGAGAACAACATGGTTTCCGAAAGATAAGTACTGAGTTAGTTAATTGTGTTTATGTCAGAAACAATAGCTATATATCTAACAGTGGGATGAATGCAGGCTGAAAACATAAAGTTTACACTTGAACAACAAATGGTGTTCTTTGCAAGATTGATTGGACACTTCGAGGTTGCTGATGATATTACACCCATTAAAATTGATAACTTTGACCCATAATGGGTCTTCAAAATGTGAAGATGCATGCTGGCTGAGTTTCCTGATGATATGTTTACCGGGGCGAGTCATGGATTGGATTATATGAATTACCTGAGGAATTTTAGGTGAGAAAAGTTGATGGGAGGTATCATACTATGCAGAAGGTATGCATCATTGTTCGTTGCTACGAGGACGAGGAATTCATGTTGCATTGTGCCAAATCTTGTACGATATTCTTATATAATGACGTTATCGCTTTCACTTGATCCTTGTTCTACTATTGCATATATTGAAAACACGTATTAGACATATGGCTTTGGAAACCAAGCCGTCTGGTTCAACCAATTGATCTGGAAACGATCACTAATCCAGCCCGGTACAAAGCCTGAACTGGTCCAAGACCCGTAAAACCATCCTAAACTGGACAATTACTTTTTAGTGACCGGTTCACAGAATGAATTAGATTAGATGGTGTCCCCTAGGCTTAGAATTGGCGTCAAAGGGGCCAAGAGGGCGCACGTGGTAAATTGGTAATAATTAATAAGGTCAAGGGACCTGCCTCCTGACTTTGTATTGTATGTATCCTTGCACCTCCCTGCTTCTAGATGTTGACTTTGTCAACCATTCTCTTTTTTAATAGCATCCACCACATTTTAACTGCAATATCCATAATGCCACCGTAGTGCGATGATCTGTCTTAATTTATGTCTGCTTATCCAAGTACTACTACTTGGTTAATATATTTTTCCAGGAAAAATAATGTTGTGTTTTTGGCATGAAGAAAAGTCAGATTATGGCGCTCAACGGTTTGCAAACAAAGGTACGCCTTGTCATGTGGCGTGCCAGACCTTCTCGCTACACTCTCTCCTGCAGTGGAGAGAGATATTGCATATATTAGATCTGAATTATACGATATTAGAATTTTGATGGGAGTAATTTTGAACTGTAATAAAGAGAGGAATGAAAAAAAAAAAAAAACTACTATGAAAAGAAACGATCTTTCGTCTTGCTGGACACCGACATACAAGGTCGAAGCAGCTAAAAATAATCAACCCATTTGTAATAGCTGGATTACTTAAAACCAAAAACGCTCCAATAATATCAGATCTTTTCTGATTGAATGCAAATGCAACTAATATTAGTTATTATATATGTTGTTCTCCGCCTTCATTTTTAAAATTATTTTTTGCCAACTCTCCTCCTTGATTACATCCTTTTGTTTATTAAACTCTTGGGTGGTTACAAGATAATACTTAAATTTTCAACCGCTTATGTAGTTTTATTCAATAGATTAATCTTTCGGGGTGAGTTGTCTTTCAAACCCAATTCACATGATCATGCCCACCATCGGCGGGGAAAATTACAAAAAGTGGGCCATTGTGAGCTGCCCGGAGAATGTTGGGCATTGCCATGTTAGGCTCTAGCTCTACATTTCAACGGTCCATATGATCCACCAAGTTGATCCCGCAATAGGATACCTAAAAAAATGCCGACGCTGAGTAATAATATCAAAAAATAATACACCAAATTGCATTCGGTGAGTGAAATGAATGATGCCCCGGAAATTTTGTAATACTATTTATCTATTTAAGGTCTTGTTGTCACAAGTTGATTGGGCGAAGACTTTAATCTATTTTGTTTTTAAATTTATATTTTTATGCATATTAAAAAATATTTTTGAACCAAAAATAGTTTTAAATGTAAATAATTAATGGACATTGTCATAAAGTTAACACATCTTTTTTATATTTAATTAATATTTTAATATCCATAAATTAATTATTTAGCTATTAAATATACGAGTAACTTATTTTCAAACAATCTCAACTATGTACTACTTATGATTTTTATTTTTAATATAAAAACTAATTTGATATTCAATTTGGTTTTAAATATAAGAGTTAAATTCACTTTATCTCTCATATTTATTTATTTTTTAAAAAATAATCTTTATAATAGTTACACATATTAAAAGTTTCATCAAATGGTTAATTTTAGTTAATACATATAATTAATAAGAGTATTTTAAAAAAATAATACTTATTTATTAAAATAACTAACTTTTTTAATCTTTTCAAACTATTCAATTAACTCTTATATTATATTAAGGAGGAGAGGTAGTATAAATGTAAGGGGCTGCATTTGAACAGTTCATCCTTCCTTTATAATTACACTTGAAATAACAAAAAGATTCTGTGAAAAGAACATCGAACACTGCCTAAGAAATTTAGTATGAAATATCCAAGGAGAACACGTGGCTTCCTCCCAAAAAAACAAACAACTTTGTTTCATTAACAGGTAAAAAAAAAAAAGAGACTTGGAGAAAATGTTTCATCTTGGGGAGGATCCAAATCCGGCGAGGGCGCCCAAAATCCCCTGTTTGTAGGGCAAGAAAGTTTTCTTTTTCAAATCCTGTGTTTCAGCCTTCTTCATAGCATAGTGTAATTCATGCGCCGATTTGGCTCCCCTTCTTTTCGACCCATGTGCTGCCGTGGGGCTATCTACAGATCTAAAGCTGGAAGTCTTAGCTTCTTCTGGTCTTCTGTATGCCACAGAGTATTTCCGTAATGGATCCTTGTTCGACCCATGCCCTTCCGATGCACTGCGGAACAACAGTAGGTCCCTCAATCTCCATTTTCTTGAGCTCTTGGAATTGCCGGATGAGGATGTAAGTAAACTTTTGGAATTCGAGGACGACGACGCCGCCTCTTTTGAACCTCGCTGTTGTTGTGGCAGGTATCGTTCTTCCTCCCATCCATAGTCCGAATTTCTGTAAGGAGAGAGAGATCGCGAGGCTCTGCGACCCGAATTCGAGGAAGAAATCGACGTTGGAGTTCTGTCTCTTCCTCTTCTCTCCTGCGTTTCCTTCTTTTTAGGTGAGAAAGCATCACTAATCACCTTCATCGGCGATCTCGATTGCCGCGGAGATACAAGCGGGCTTTTAACAGATGCGAATTCGTCGTCCCTCAGTCGGGACGGAGGCTTGAGAGCCTTAATTTTGCCGCCATCAAACAGATCTTCAGCGGAAAGCGACGATTTCTCCGATTCCCGGCTAACATCAAACGCGAAACTATAATCGTCGTCGTCATGTTTGGGTGTAGCGGAGACATACTCAAATTCAGAAACAAACTCGTAGAATCTGGAGGGGCTGGCGGGAGCACTTAGGTAACAGTCACCGAAACGGTTGGGCGAAGAAGGAAGGCTCAAGTAGGGCGAAGTAGTTCTGCCACCATTGAAGTCGAAATCAAAATCCCTAGCGGGACTGGACACTAACAGCTCCATGGCTTTGCAATTCAATCTCTGGTTAGCTCAATTTGGTAGAAGATGTTGGCGGAGTGGTTGTGAGTATTTATAGATGTACAGAGAGGGGAGAAAAATGAGGACAGGTGTGGTTGTGTGGGAAGGGAGGAGGAAGGATCTAACGGATTGTTTTATTGACCATTGAATTGAATTGATTTGATTTGGGATTAGGAAGCCGCCTTTCATACCCTTCACTTATTAATTATTATTATTATCATTATAATAGACTTCTCGGCCTCTTACTCGTGCGTGCACTGATCATTCCTTGTTCACCAATTATTTCCCACGTGGCATGGCCTTGAATTTTTTTCTTTTTGGTTGGTTTTGGTTGTTGCCTTGTGCGGGGCAGCATTCAGCTGACCCACTTGCAAATTTGGAAAAAGAAGTAGAGACAAAGTTAGCAATAATTATTTTAATTTTTTTAAAAAAAAGGAATGCTTACAAAGATTTGGAGATTTTGGTGTGACAACACTAAATATCTTCATTAAAATTCTTTAAATTCAAAATTTATTTAATAAATTTTATTATGCTCCTACGCATCATCCCTTTCATCATTTTTCGGTGCATGAGCTTTACCATGAGACCCTACTATTATTACTCTAACAACAAAGTTTATAAGTTCGTAATTGACTTTTTCACGTAATATATATATACACATGCACATATCTTCGAATATTTGTAAATAATTATGTCATTGCTAGATCTCGTTTGAAAACAGATGTGTGGTGAAGAGGACATGGTACTGCTTCTAGATGATATTGACATGATAGTAATAAATGTGTATGGATTATGCGCAAGGATGGCAATGCCTTAATCTCCACGCTGTACGATTACACATAAAATCCGTTCAGATTGGGAGGGGTTAAAAAAAAAATCAAATACATGCATTGATCTAGAAGGTGGACTTTAGAATTAAAAAAAAAACCCAAAGACAAATAATATAACCCGTTACTTGATTATGAATATTATAGTAGCATTACAGATTTGGATAAACCTGGCTGTATAATTTATTTTGCGATATACTTAGCTTCTTGTGGATGCAAAATAACATAGGAAGAAGGAAAGAGAAGACTTATCTCAGTTATCTTGAAGTCTGAATTTGTCGTTTCCCTTTTATCATTATCCTAAAAATGTTAAATCCGCCTGAACTCATGCGGTTGCGTCAATTTTAAATTGGGTTCAACATTAACCTAACTTGATGTTTTGATCTCACTTGTCAATTCCAATTCAGTTTTGCATCAAATCCGGCTTGCCCAACTTCACAGAATATATTTTACTATTTTAATTTTAATAGCTGTATATGTATCTCTAATTATTAAGGACTGAAATTGCTTTATTTTTATAAATTTAAATTCGAAATCAAACAGGCATACGAGTGATAAATTATGAAATTAAAAAAGATGGCCTTGTTATTTAACATTCAATAGATTAAAAAAAAACTCTAAAA